AACGGTGACTAAAGACGTTGACCAAACTTTGAAATTGAATGGTAAATGACTAATTAGTTTGTTAAAAGCGTGTGAAATTGTTCTCGGCGAATTGAATGTTAGAGTTTGTGAATTTGAACGAAAAATGTTTTAAAATACCCGGGAAAATCTATACTTCTTTCAACTTTCATAATACATGCATATTCTAGATTTGTGTTATTATTTCTCATTACGATGCCAAACCCTTTTTATATATAACAGTTTGTCCAACTTGAAATGATCAATGCACTTAAAGTTTTAAGATTGAATGTTATGTATTAGCCAAATAAAAATTGATAGGTATAGTTAAACCGTATACCTAGATGAGAATCTCAGGGTAATATCTCTCAGTTCTGCTTCCCCCTGTTTTTTTTTTGGGGGGGGGTGGGATTTGTCGAAAATCCATAAATGAAATTGTTTTAACAGATTTTCCCCCTTTTCAATAGCAGTGACGCAGAATTATATGCATGTATACCAGATAAGTTGAAGCGTCTTATTACAAAACCACTCAAAAATTATATATAGGCCTAACATGTCAAAAGTCTCATCGCAAATTGAAGGACTCTGTTTGCAAACGTTTTAAGAAGAAATTAACTTATATTCCTTTATTTGGAAGCGTTGAGTGGCAGCATTACAACTGCTATTATTTTGTTTCAGCTGAGAATCGTTTTTATTATTTTGAATATTTTTTTAAGAATTGATTCATGTTTTGTTGTTGCTCCATCCATTCCCTTAAAACCACCAGTAAAACCCAACGGCTCACCCGCCTCTTCTTCTTTTTTTGAGGCTGCATCAAATTATAACATTTTTTTAATTTCAGGCATACTTAGGTCATGTACGATGGTGTGAGATCCTATTCTAAGTGCAGTGTTGGTGGGTCGAGTTTCCGCCGTTCGAGTGCGAGAACAATAAAAATACTCGCGTCGAGAACAGACCGCCCGAACTCGTACGGCCATTGTGTGAGAAAATGTTTCTGACTATGTCAATAGAGGGCGCTGTTTCTGATTTTTTTTTTCTCATGTAGAATTTTCGACGTTTTTATGTCAGATTTTCTCATTTCCAAACAAAGTGTGAAATCGGGGAACAAAGTTTGTTCGATATGATACACCATAATCTACATGTCTGGGAAGTTTTATAAAATTCGGCGAACCAGACCGCGTGGCGAGCGAAAAAAAAGCCTCGTCCCACGGACTACCCGTGACAATCTAGTAGTAGGTTAGGATTTGGGTCATCCCCCACCCCCCCCCCCCCCCCCCCCCCACCCACTCGCCGGCGGCACAGATTTACGCCACTGATTTCTGTTAACTTGTGTTGACCTATTATTCGTTTCAGTTAGCGGAATATTTTAAAGCTAGCGATCGCTTGGTCACAAACGAAGAAGATCCACCTACTTTTGGCCATAATGATAATTCGCACAATTTCAGTTATCGGTTTAATCATGGTTTAATACATGCTGCCCTAAATTATATGTCTCATTAATTTTTGATTAGTAGAAGCTAAAACAATTACGAGTATAATTTATAGCATCCGTGGGCTATTTTGATCGCGACTGAAACGGTACTTGTTCCCTTTTGGTCCAGGGTCTATCCGGGACCTGAAACGTCCATTTCTGGAGTTCGGATAAAAATGGACCAAAAAACTGTGTATTTTGCATTCATGTAGATAGATCATTGTCAGTGCGATAAACTTCATCATGACTGCCGTAGGGGATGGTCTTATTTGGATGGATAAAAATCACAGTCATCAGTATAGGCCTACATTATAGATTCCCCCCCCCCAAAAAAAAAAACTTTAAAAAGGCAAATCGAGCTTAATTTGATTGGATGTATGTTGTATCTTTATCTGTGGAAATACGTGTCATCAGCATAGACATGTCTATGGGTACACACCTGTAAATCGATCCGCCAAGCTCATGAATAAAAGTTATACCCTCAAAATATTCTATAATAGAGAGTTCTGAGCGCCGTAAAATTGGGGAATTGAAGGGATATGGTAGTGAACCTCTGGCCCGGACTTGGGGCTTCCAATTCTGAGCATTTTGGATGCTATTGGGCTCGAAAGTGGCGCTATTTTGCCATGTTGTGGAGGGATCGTTTTTCAAGATGGCTACTTTTCCGCTTTGGGGAAAATAGGGGTCGTCTTCTTTGCGTGAAAATATCTCGAAAAGTCAATGGTCAACCCACCATAAATTGAAAAGAAAATGAAAGATGACACATTGATCATCATTTTTCTGTGCAGCTTGAATACCTGTGAGAGTTTTGAGTATTTTTAAAAGAATTTTGAAGTACGGGCATTTAGCACTAGTGTCTATGGGAGTTTATTTGCAGGTATGCACCCCTATGGTCATCAGCACCAAAAATCGGAATGAAGCACGCCCTCCTTAGACGAGAGGTGTGAACCGTGTATTTATGTTGTGTGCCGGACTGATCACAACACGTGCGTGTTTGCAATTCGTTGTCGATTCTCCCCAGCAATGCTACATAACTGATGAAAATAGCTTGAATAGTATCTGTGAAAGGTGGAGTATAGTAAAACACTACAAAGTACAATTGGTAATCCTTACTTTTAGGACACCTCTATTTTTTACGAGTTCTGTTCAAAACTGACTTTTGCAGATGTCTGTCCAGTACCAAAGTGACTTTTGCAGGCTAAAGCAGTCTTTAGAAGTCAAGAAGGTGTCATTGCCAATTGTTCAGATGTGCCAAGAAGTATCAGAATGTCAATTTTGAGTGTCATTTAGTCAACTGTTTTGGTGAGTCTTTCCCTTCCTATATAGGAACGGGGTCCTAAAAGTAAGGATTACCGTACAATTTTGCTGTTTAAATGTTTAAAACACTCACTTTGACTTTTGAAATGTTGTCCATTAATGCTGCCCAGTTTTCGGACATAGTCTATCGCGTAGCGTAGCTAGTACATGTTTTAGTAGCCCCATGTGGCCAATTTACTGGACTACCTCCGTAAATAAGGGCCCCACCCCCACCATGTACAAAAACATGTCAAACTTTGTCAAATTTTGATTTTCACATTTAGGCTTAGTTTGTAAATTGTACTAGGCCTACTGACTACTGTAGTTTATTTTTGCTTTAGAACTCAAGTACTACTAGCCCTCTTTATAATTACTAGGCTAATCAGAAAGTGCTGCCTTTTTCAGATGTCTAATTTTCGTGAAATTTCATGTTGAAATTTTGATACGCAAACGTGTGCAAAGGAATCTCGAAATTTCACGAAAAATAGACATCTGAAAAAGGCAGCACTTTCTGATTAGCCTTTAAAAGAGGGTGAAGTATGCTTCTAAAGCAAAAATAAACTTCAAACTAAGCCTAAATGTGAAAATCAAAATTTGACAAAGTTCAACATGTTTTTGTACATGGTAAAAGTGTGGCCTTTATTTACGGAGCTAGTCCAGTAAATTGGCCACATTTATGTGGCTAGTACTAGGGCCCCTGTTTTGTTTCGCTCCTCGAATTAGAACCAAGAAATTGAATTCTTATTAATATTACTAAAAAATGAAATTACTTCTCTCAGTTTCATTGTAATGACCCTTTTTTTCCAAATTCAGAATTGAAGGTGAAATTCCTCTTTTCTTCCCAAACATGCCAAAGGTACACGTATGTAGGCCTAAACCTGGCGATCGTGTAGGGCCCCTGTTTTGTTTTGATCAAATTAGAGTCAAAAATGTTTTTTATTGCTCAAAAATCACCTTTAAAATCAAAAGCAGACTTTTCTCAATTCTAATGACGCCCCGTTTTGCAATTTCGAACAGATTCTTGGGGTAGAAATCACGATTTTCCTGCGCGGTTTGTGCCTTGCTATTCAGCGTGCCGTGCGTGCTCACGGTTCATCGCGCGGTGATCGCCATCTTTATTTTCGGGTCGAGTGTTGCCGCCGCGCTGTCATCGTCATGTTACCCCCAAATTTCCTTCCAAAAATCAAAAGCCTGACCTCTATCTATGACATACCTGTTTATTGAGAATGTCGCCAACTAGTTTGGTAGGTCCAATAATTTTAAAGTGGAATTTGTTCCCTTAGATAGGAACCGGGCCCTACACCACACGATCGCTGTAAACCTAACCACCACAATTTGTATTTCCAATTCCCACTGAAGCCTACAGGGGCGCATAAGGCAGTTTGAAGACTGTTTTGGGGGTGAAATCTGAAGATTATGATCGGGGATACGAGTGAAAATGGTAAAAAATACTCTAACGTTATCACCCGACCATGTCCAAATGTTAAAAAAGGCGATTCGTAGAGTCCTAGTTACTCGGACTACAATTACGTGTAGGCCCACACAGCCTGCGTAAGGCCAAAAAAAAAAAAATACAAAATATTTCTGCTTCCGGTTACCCGACCTATTTCTTCCTTCATGCCCGACCAACCCTATTTTTAGGCTGCGAACCTTAAAATTGTATTGACAAGTCTAAAAAAAAAAGAATAATGAATAAATAAATAAAAACAAATCCTGTTGTCTTTTGTGTCTTCACAAAACACCTCTCAACAATCCTTTTGCCTCAAAAATACTTGTATTTATTTGTCTGCCTACTTACATTCACTTCTTTGGGAAGAAACCTCCATTGTTTTTACAAGTTCGCTTCACAATAACTACCCTGATGTACATAGCAGCGGTACCCGCTGCTATGTACATCAGATTCGAACCGGCCAACCGATCGCGTTAACTCCGTTCGTCAAGTGGTAAGACATCTGCACTAGAAAGCAGGAGGTTGTGGGTTCGAGTCCCACCCGAGTGATTTTTACCAACTTTCACTCGGGAGGTAACACACTGAGTATACAGTGTTTAAAAAAACGTTGGTGAAGGGCAAAACCTAATTTGATTAATAACTATTTTGCAGTTCAATGTCGCGGTAATGATATGACAACACGTTCGTACAATGTACGTACATGTACATGTACGTAATGCTCAATGCAGCGATGACTGGTTCCCGCTGCGCCGCGCACTAAAAGGGCCAAAGAAGGCATGATAGAAGTGCGGTAACTAGTCCATTCAAGGCCGCGCTGTGCACTGCAGAGTGCAGTCATGGCAGTTGTAGGTTGGATTTAGACATCGTAAAATGTCAAGAAAACATGGATGGAGAAGGAACATTTTTTTGCAAGTTAATTCACAGAACTTGATCTCTCTTGTCTCTTTATGTCTTCTGCGCGTTCATGCATTTCTTTTGAGGTCGTACTACTCGTATTTGGAGTGATATGATGTAGCCTGTTTCCCCAAAATTTCCAACCATAAAAGTGAGGTTCGTTGCACGCCACACATATGCATCACGCAGGCTTATAACGCGCAATGGAAGGACAGTGTTAGCCAAGTTTCCCGTCATGACTGGCGTTGTTAACATGGTGTGTCTGACCTGAATTTTCCAATATTTGTAAGAATTATCGACCGTAAATGTTTTGACAATAATTAAGGTAAGTTTTAATAACTTTTCGTCGCCAATTTTTTTTTTAGCTTTCGTAGTGCAATGGAAATAGTTCAGGCTGAAATTTCGCAATTGAATACCCCATTCAATCAGCACAACAAAAAAATTGGCAAAAAAAAAATTCTGACCTACAGACCCTATATTTGAAAGGCATGTAATGGGAAGCAAAAATATATATTTTTTTGGCCTAATAAATAAATAACAAAATACCAGTTGTGAAGTGCTGGAACATCCGTTCAAAAATATTATAACAAAAAGCAATAAAATAGGAAACGAAAGGGGACGGAGGACATGTATATGCCATTGCTGTAGTTTTTCATGAGATGTCTGAAAAATCATATTTTTTGTCTTTTTGTTTTTACAGTGATTTTAGTCCCAGACGAAGTCTTTATCCTTAAAAAAAAAAATGCTGACCCCAGCGTTTGAACTAGGTCAGGATGCAGACTTCTTGAAAATCTTGATAAAAGCACGCTACGCCAAAGTGACGGAGGTGGAGATCTTCGTGGACGGAAATGACTTCAAGTTCTACGCCAAGCCATACTTTCTGAGGTAGTAACAGAGCTAAAACTTCTCAAGTTAGTCTAAAACATCTCAAGACACTTTTTTTTTCAGTTTAATGAAATCACGAAATCCAAAAACTGCTGCAAACTGCATGCAAACTCACTCATTGGCATAGCTAGACCAAGGCGTTCAACGAAAGAGTCCTATCGATAGTCCGCCACCAACAGCAGTAGCCGCGCTCTATGCAATCACGCATACTTTACGAAGCGCGAACAGCGACCTCATGCGGCTAGGCTACGATATGCAAATCAGGGCGGCATGCATGGCCTAACTTTTCGGGCCATTATCGTAATTGTGTCCCCCGATTTACATCTATTTATATTTGGTCTGCAGACTCCAAACCTGTTTGAGAATGTAGCCACACTATATCCAGCTCTCTGTCCATGTAAAAAATGAGCCTCCACAACCAAGTACTGAATAATAATCTCATCTTTATTTGCATACATTATCGTTGCTGGAAATCCAGCGACAAAATAAAGAAACATAAGTCAAGGCTCACGAATGTTCCAAGGCGTTCATTCAGCACCAGCTGATTTGCATATTGTAGCCTAGCCGCGTGAGGGCGCTCTTCATGTAGTACATGTACGTGTGAGTGCATAGTGTACCGATACTGTTGTTCACGGCCAACCATCGATCATTGGACACTATCGTCAAACGCCTTGACCAGGGGGGGGGGGGGGGGTTACCAAATTCTTTTGCCAGAGTGTATGCCTGAAACTTGGGACGGAGATCAAGCAGAGATTTGAGACAATACCGGAGACTGACGGTTTAGGCCATGTCGGCATACAGTTTGCCACGCTCAAGTGGACCATGTGCAGAGAACATGTGCAATGCATTAATCGGATGTGCAGCTACACCTCCCTCCCTTTTTTAGTAATGGAGGGGGTCTCCCCCCCCCCCCCCCCCCGCCCCCCTTGTTTTATGCCACTGCGCTCACTTGAGACTATTGTGAATGATAAAGAGTCTGATCCGGTTTTGAATCAAGGCAGAATCTTTTCGTTGCATGTATAAACATTGTTTTGTTGTATTTCTTTTTTATGTCCAGGCTTCAACTCCCTGGTAGAGTTCTGGAAGATGGCAGAGAGAAGGCAAAATATGACGTAGACACAGGTATGATATTAACAAGGTTTACTTTTTGTTTAAAGGTACAGTCCATCATTTGTAATTTGTGTATTTTGTTCATTTTAAACAACAAAAGTGATCAAAATCTAAAGACGGGTGCTGAACAACTAACCTGATGAAGTTTCAGCTCAGCTTCAGCTGTATATTCCTAGAAAAATAACATTCTAGAGTCTCGATTTCAAATCAAAAGTTGCTGAATCATGTTTTGAATTGGGCCTGAATTCAGCATTCGAGACGCGTTCTCACTGAGCCGCTTGCAGGTATGCGATGTCGCGCACTGATCAGACGAATTACAAATGCGCGCGTATGCTTCGTGTCAATGCTTGCGTGCGCTTCGCCGAATAAAAAAAACAAACTACTAAGGAAAATTTCAAACGATGCGTTCTTTTGTTGATTTCTTCAAAATGACAGCATGCCAGCAAGAATAATGTCACAGGGAGTTTAGTCCCCTTACTTTCGTTCAACCAAGTATGTGTTTCAACAATAATAACGCCAGTTACTTTTTGGATAGCTGCAAATGATGGACTGTAGCTTTAATACATGGGTCGTTCTATAAATTTAGGGTCCAATGTGTGACATTATTCCTGACATACATTGTATTTTCCTAATTTGAATACAAATCTTAGGAAAAGTACAACAACGATGTTTTTTTTCAATTCTCAGTTTGTAATCTTTCATACATGTATGTCTACTACACATATTTTAAAGAAATAGTAATACAAATCTTAGAATATATGTTTTTCATTAAGAGAAACCAGTTAGTATCTTTCCTTTTCAAGAACACAAAACTCAGTATTTTAGGTTTTTTTTAACATGTCCATAATAGTTTAAACAGCCATATCCTCACAACAAAATGTCCCATGTTAAAATGCAACAAACAGTATTGTAAGGAGAGTTTTATTCTCTTTCCTAATATATACAAGTTTGCAAATCCTCATTTAGACCTCTGCCCAGTTCTATCTCATTTTGCAAGAAAGCCTCGCATTTCATAATTTTTATGAATATTTCCACATGGTTCTGAAATTGATTTTGCCCTTCTTGATTGAAGGATCGTTTGAAGTCAATCTCCCCAAGGAGACTCCGGGAGAGCTTTTCCAAGGCCTGGACATGTTGACCCTCCTGCTGGCTCCAAAAGGTCAAAGGTCGGCTGAGCAACCTGGCATTGAGGTCACAGGTAGGTCAGACAATTAGACGCCTAGCATAGAGTGGCGTCACTGAATTAAATTACTAGAGCGCTAACTCCTCATTCTTGTGCCCGGAGAAGCTTTGGGCGCAGACATTTTGAATTCATGGGTGTGTTTGTAGAACACGATCAGAATAAATGGATTGAATTTTAAAAGTGTACTCTAAATGCAACGCGCAAGTAAAAAACATCACGGCAAAAAGCATGTTTGCGTAGAACAAAATGACACGCCCATTTGCTGATCGTGCGTTTCGGTTTTGTGCGTATCGGCTTTGATGACGCATCGGTATGGAATACAAATGTAGATATGCAAATAGACGTACAAAATACGTATACAATGTCTAGTTCTCCATAGGTTTGTGTACAAACATGGATGCGCCCAGTAGGCATCACTTTGTACATGAGTTAGCGCTCTAGTAATTTAATATACATGTAGCTCAATGCTCAGGAATCAGTTGATTTCAGGGCAAAACCTAATTTGATTTATATCACCCCGACGCAAAACTCCATCTTATAATAGTGTATGTGGTACCCGCTGCTATGTACATCAGATTCGAACCAGCCAGCCGATCCCATTAGCTCGGTGGTCGAGTGGTAAGACATCTGCACTAGAAAGCAGGAGGTCGTGGGTTCGAGTCCCACCCTAGTGATTTTTTCCAACTTTCACTCAGGAGGTAACACACTGAGTAAACAGTGTTCAAACGTTGGTGAAGGGCAAAACCTAATTTGATTTATATCACCCCGACGCAAAACTCCATCTTATAATTGATTTCAGTTAAGTTTATGAAATCAGTCGTTTTTATGAAATCGGTTGATTTATAGAATCAGTTGCTTTTATGGAATCGGTTGATTTTATGGAATCAGTTGAGATACTGTGGACACAACCAAAAGACACCATTTGGAGATTTTTACACTCAAAATTACCTACTCTAAATAGCGCCCTTCTGTCCACCATATATGGCTATTTAAAAACGAGATTCATTATATTCCATTTGTAGGAAAGAGTGGTGAGGCAGGAGAGCAGAGCCAGGATGCTGAGGATGACCAGGGGGAGATTGACTGGCAGGTGGAACAGCAGCCCTTCCAGCAAGAGGAAGACTCCCTCTGGGGTGAAACAAGCTATGGGTTTGCCAACAAGAGGAGTGGTGTTTTCCAGAGGTTGCAAGTAAGGAAACAGTAACGGCAGCATTTGAAGCTAATTGACTATGTTAGTCCCTGTACTGCCCCAAACGATCCTGGCTGTTACTCCCTGTACCGTCCCAAACTGCTCCAGCATGTCATATTTTTATCGATTCATCACAGAAAAACTTTTATTTAATGTAACACAATGCATGACTAAACATCGCTATCAGAAAAATTCACGGACATAATTTATGCAAATTAGTCAACTGGCGAACAGCACCGCCTCATTACGTGACGTCACACTGGTATGGACCAATGCATCAATAAGGGATTCACCCGGTTTCCAAGCTTCTTATTGGTTAAAAACGATCACATGATGTATTACGACATCATTTTCTAATTCTCTGTAATCAATACTACAGATTCCTTTTGACTGTGTCAAAATTGGTTACTTCTGTCCCACGTTATCAGCATTTTTCTTATTGCATACTCATAAGGTTTTTCGTGTATTTTTTTTGGTGAGTGTTAAGTTAGTCTTTTTTCGACTGTGGTATTTTTTAGGATTTGATTCGTGAAATGCATAATTTTGTGGGTGAAGTTGAAAGTCTTAGCTACGATTTGGTGCGTAGTCTGAAAAGTTCCACTTCTGTATACACGGCAGCATGGCCAATATATGCAAAATATGACTTGTAATAATTGCGCTAGTGAGCATATGGTGGGGCGAGTTTTGCAAAACGTGCATAATGCATGATCAGTTGACCTCTGATAAAATTTCCACAGCCCATGATAACACACGCTCGAAAAATGCTACACCATCAGTTGGCGACGTTTGTCAATGCAATGTTGTATATAGGCTCTAATGAGTCGGTGGGGTTTTGTCGCATGGTGGACCTCTCTTGGTGAAAAAGGCAATTTGGGAACTTTAACCCTAACGTACCTGAATCCTTCAAAACCCACGACCCTGTTTCGGGGGATTTCGGCGGATTCAGGATACCTCCATATTGAAAAAAGTTGGGGGATTTTGATGGATTCAGGACATGAAGCCTAGCGGTACTGCAGGACTTTGATGGATTCAGGATCTCAACAGATTTACTCCCGGCTAACAGGTGGATTCTGATGGACTGGCCACCAATTTTTTTTTGCATAGCAAAATTGATGGATTTTGGTGGATTCAGGATACTTTCTCGTAAATATACCCAAGGGGTTAGGGTTAATAGTACATTTCCTTTATCATGTTTATGTAAATGTTGGTACGCTGCATATACTGTATTATGTGGAGGGTAATTGGAGAGACGTCATTTTGAAACATAGAAGAGTCGAATGCCCTCCCCATCCATTTTCCTCCTGCTTCTGCTTCTGCTGACAGAGATGAAACTTTTCCGATTTTAATTGGAAATCCGACTTTTTGAATTTTCCAACGAAATTTCCGATTTTTTTACAGTGTGTCCCACAAAATTTGATTTTGTAACAATTTTTTTCACAAAATGTCATTTTATTTCAATCATAATTTCGAAGAAAAGTCGATGAAAAGTCGATGGAAATGGCACATTAAAATCATCGCGAACGTAGTTTTAATCTCTTTCACCAGTCGTTATTGGGTGTTTCAACGGTAGAAACAAAGAGCATAACACTGATGGGAGCCTTCTCCGGCTGGACAAAAGGTTAAACATTGACAGGCGACATGGAAAAATCACTGTGTCGCACGTGCGTGCGAATATATGCAATGGTACCGGTGTACGTACCGCACCGTACCGTATGCTAGCGGGAACCGGTGGCCTTGTGAACAATCCAGTGGATAAGATCATTATGTTGTGCGATTTCCAGAGGTTTCAGATTTAGTTGTACAAAATGCAATGCTTTAAAAATCGTGATGATTATCTCAAGGATAGCGAAGAGAGCATTAGCGAAACATTTCACTGGCATTTGTTGGAAGAGAAAGACGATAATGCCTGATTTTTCCCCACGTAAGAATGCAAGTGGAGTAGTGGAGTTGTGTGGTTGAATCATGGACATGATTGAAGCACCATGAACGGTGCCCTTGTCTTTCGGACTTTTCCCTCGACTTTTTCAAGTAAGAAGTGAACTTCTTTATTGATGACTCCATTACTCTAACCGTAATTTAGGCATTTTATGCAATGAAAGCACTGACCACTGACCATTTTTTTTCATCGTAAAATTTTGTTAGAATCGAAACTAAAGCAGGAGTTGGTGTTCGGAAATTGGGCATGAAGTGTATTGTACATGCATGTATATGTGTAACTGCAGCGCGGCCTAGATTTCGGACACGTATTTTGTTCGGCCTATTTTCCGATTTTTTTGCCATATGCGAGTTTCATCTCTGTGCTGAATACTATGCAAGCACCACCAGATAGTGGTTATAACGCATAGGTCAGTGTGGCGGAGGTGATTCAATTTTGTAATGAGCTTTTCTGACCAGCTCATCCATATTTATTTGATCCAGTCTCTCTTTGAATGATTTGATGTCAGGTTGAGCTATAACGTCTGGTTGGGGGATGTTCCATTCGCGAGTTGTCCGGGGGTAGAATGAATACTGGTAACAGTTCTTGTTGAATGGTGGGGTTTCTAAGATGTGAGGCCCGGTTTGCAGTCTGGTGGATTTTATGATGTTGATGATGATGATGATGATGGCGACTGTTGACGTTTGATGGAGTGATAATAATAATAATAATGATAATAGAGAACATTTATATAGCGCCAAAATCCATCTAAAAAAGACGCTCAAGGCGCTTTACAAGTTTAAAAAATAAACTAATACTATAGCATTATATATAATAAATAAAAAAAAGTAACTGTAACGTTAAAATGTTTGAAAAAGTCGATACAAGGAATAAAAATGTCAAAGATAAAAATAGTAAAATAGAAAAACTTGAAATGATGTTATGGACTTCCTTAAAGATGTAAATTAAGTGAAGTTTGGTGCGCCGTCTTTCGAGAGGTTCCCATCGGAGGTTTGCCAGCATGTTTGTGACACTTGAGTTCCTGCTGTAGTCATTGTGAACAAAGCGAGCAGCTCGGCGTTGGATTTTCTCAAGAGATGCCTTGGAGTTGTTGTGATGAGGATCCCATATTGATGGGAACCTCTCGAAAGACGGCGCACCAAACTTCGCTAACTTTCTCACTGAAATTTGTAAAATGGAGCTTGGCTTTAATGGTTTAACAAAAAATGATAAATTCATTTTTCTCATGTCGTCGGCAGATAAACGCACTATTATATGTGTGGCTAAATTTATTTTCCAATGTACAAATCTTAAAGAGAGGCAAAGCATGACGTAATTTCAAAGCATATTCTTTGTTAACCCACCTGCCAAATAATTTAATGTTTAATTTCACTGTTGTAACCCTTCCCCAGGGTCATGGGGTTTGTTCCTATTTGTGGAATAAAACATAACATAACATAACATTGATGTGCAGTACTCAAGCTTCGGTCTGATGAGGGTTTTGTAGGCTATTTCCTTGACTGATTTGCTACCCCCCGCCCCACCCCCGCCTAATTGCACCACCTATGGACTTCATTGTGATTCTGGTGTTTAATTCACAGGAAGAACTTTGTGACATTGTCGATGTACCAAGCCCAGACACAACACAGCTAATGGAGAGGAAACAGGCCAGAGAATCTGCAGAAAATGACAAGTTTGATGAGGAACACTATCTGTGAGTAGCATTTGTCAATTCAAGTATTTGATGCAATCTTCTGTTTTTATCGACAAAAAGAAAAGAATAGTTTAGACCATTAACCATGGAAGCCAGAAGCTCAGCCTCAGCCTCATAATAAATTTTTGAGAAATAAGTAAGGGGTATTATACCTTTTTCCCTTATCTTTTCAATTGCAGAAATTTATTTCAGATTCTCAGAGTACATAAAACAACTTTTGGCCAGGAAGTCATTGCAAAACTGTTTTACTGGCCAGTATATAGACAATGCTGCTTTATGCGTGCAAAAACATAGACTTCAGATATCAACTAAAACGGAGAAAGTTTTTTGGTGCCGAAGTATAAAATTCAGCAACTTTGCGGTGCCCCCTACTTTCCAGTACATGCAGTATGCGCCAAACTTTAATACCATCTACATTTGTATTGTGTGAATACAATAATGTTTGGTACCACATTACCCCCATATACTTGTACATTCATCTGTAATGTTACTCAAAATGTTACTCATGATCTTCATATGTACAGTGTGAGTAAAAAAAAATACTATACACTTTTAAAATTGGCCATAGTTTTATTCTGTAGCAATAAAGATAAGATATTTTCATATGTACTTTTAGAGTAACTCTTCCTGCTTCTTTTGGTGACATTTTCACTGGATTAGTTTTCATGCATGACTGCACAGGAGACAATTAAAGGGGTCGGGTGAAATCTGACTTGCGCCAACTAGTCAGGGCTGGATAAGTAAGAAACAATTTAAAAGAACACAACCATTGTCTAACAAAGAGACAAAACAGGATTTCATTAGCTTTTAAACTTTTGTGTTTATTTAAAACATTTAAATTAAATTAAAAAGGCAATTAAATTCCATGGTGTCTTAGTCCTCAACATGGCCACCATCTCGTTCAATGCACAGCTGGGCTCGGCGCATCATTCCTGCAACAGCACGGCGAATCACCTCCCTGTCTTGTCTGAGAATGTCAATTTCACGAGTTATCCTTTCCTGGAGGTCATCCAGATTTGCCTACTGAAACTCTTGCAAGCAAGATCCACAAATCTGAACTGATTATGCATTCCATGACTAGAACCAAGGCAATGGTTGTGTCTCATTCTTATCCAGCCCTGACCAGTTGGTGCGAGTCAGGTTTCACCCGACCCCTTTAATTGTCTCCTGTGCAGTCATGCATGAAAAGTAATCCAGTGAAAATGTCACCAAAAGAAGCAGGAAGAGTTACTCTAAAAGTACATATGAAAATATCTTATCTATATTACTACAGAAAAAAACTATGGCCAATTTTAAAAGTGTAGGCCTATAGTTTTTATTTGGCTCACACTGTACATGTGTTGGGATCTGGGGATTTCCCTATGAGGTCATCTTTGCATCTTACTTGCATTATGGTGCCTTGACCTGTTTTTTTTTCAACAGCTTATGGAAATTCCTTCAAACATTACATGGAATACAAATATGCCTTTCGTTTTCTTCTTAAAGATTGCCCAGAACAATTTGCCTGCAAATTACACATGTACCTGGCCCTTAACCCAAACTCCCTAGGGAGTTTTTGCAGGATGCAACCTCAATCCTGCAAAATCCTCCAACTGCCTCCATGTAAAAATTGCGTACAGCCTCAATCCTGCAAAATACTTCATTATTTTTTGAATGTGCTCTTTGGAGGGGTGACCACTGCCGCAATCCTGCGAATTCGTCCAGCAATCACTGTCGATATGTTGAGGCAGAGCCAGTGACATCCTGGAGCGGTGCCAAGGATTTCATTTATAATCTACATCGTATATGTAGGCCTAAATGTATGCACAGCTGAGCATAAACAACACAAGGTCCAGCCCAAGACCTTGGCACAGTGCATCCTGCAAAATCAGCCACACATTTTCGCCATATATAGCCTCAATCTTGCAAAATCCTCCATTTTGCAAAGAGGACTTTGGAGGATTTGGGAAGGTTAGCCGGGTTTAATTATCTGCTGTTCATTGTGCGATATTTCGAGCTACAAAAGTTTCAGACGTCAGGCTTCACTTTTGCATGTTCTGGATTTGATCGCCTGATAAACCATCAAAGAGCCAATCAAGGAGAAATCTGTGAAGTCTGATTATTGTGTGCAGTGAGCTTCCCATCCTTCTTAACTGTTGGACAGATCCCCCCCCCCCCCCACCCCCTCTGACAAATACAGCAGGGCCAACCACTTCACATGCACATTGTCAGTTGTTAATTCTAAAGAAATTTCCCCCTTTTCTTCCAAAGGGCTGATCTTTATCAGGATGATTCCGTCATAGAAAGCTTGCTGGCCCATAAACCTCCTTGGCACCACGAGTGGAGAAAGTTACAGGCAAAGAACAAACAAGCCACCAAGCAGATGGAACCCGCATCCAGTGAAGAACCAATCGGTGAGAAAGTTCTGTTGATTTGTTTTTTTTACGTGAATTATTGTTAAACGTGATCCAGCATGGGAAGGCACTTTGGTTGAATACATGTACTCTTTTTGACGTACACATTCCACAGTGCAGCTGTCCCTGGGCCGAGCAATACCGGCGTTAAGGGGTTAATAAGACAGCGTCTAAGCTTGAGTGACCTGAAATCAGCCAACTTCAAAAAAAAAAATTATTATTATACTTAAACGCCTAAATGTACCATTAAAGGGAAGATACAATATTTGCAAACATCAAAAAACGAAACGATCTCATTACCACGAAATACCTATACTGGATTGTTAGGGAATGACAGTCAAAAGCATCCTGTAAAATCGTAGCTCCTGGTGTGCTGAAATTTTCAAGAAAAATTGTATTTTGCCAACGCTGGTCGGCCGACCAGCATTGGAGAAAACTGGCTTTTTTCCAAATCTGCTACTAATGTTTCAAATTTAGTTATTCCGCATTTTCTTTGCAATTGATCACAAAGCTGTGAAGCCTGCTAGACTGTCTATCTGACCTTATACAATTCCCCAAAGTGTACAAATTGCTATGTTTCATCGTAAGTGGGGTCAGGGAACTAGACTACAACATGATTGGTTTTCTTGGTTTTTCCAGCATCTACAGTCCCAACACGTGAAACAAGTCAGTTCAACAATATTTGCTATAGCATACTAATCCTCCAAATCCATTTATTTCTGAAAAATGCAGCAAAAGCAAATGTTGTACATTCCCTTTAAAAGGAGACACTGTATTGTAATTTTTTCGAACGGTGGGAGACATCGGTCATTAGGGAGACAGTTTTATGTCTCCTAATGTCACAGCCCCCCTTTAGAGGCACAATTTTGCTGTCACAATTAGGTTATATTTGTTGCTCATGGTCTAATTAGTAAACATACCGAAATTCGTGGAAAAAGGACAAGGGAACATTGGGTTAGGGCACATTTAAGTTTGAAAAATGTTGTGCACAAGTCAATGGGGATGTCTCCCAAATGTCCAATCCAGGGCAATTATTATTATCCTTGTTATTATAATTATTCTATAATTTTTGTCTCAGTGGATCTCACCGAAGATGAGAAGGAGCAGATGAGACGGTTGCCATGCCGACATTATCTCCTGAATCCTGAGATGGAGAAGGGAGTGCTGCTGAGCCTAGTGGATATCGTCTTTGCTTACGCTTACAACGTCAGAACAACGCTCAGTGAGAACTCGGTAAGAAGATTTGGTTGGTAATTTGAACTCCTCCCTGATATGAATTGGGATTGGCGCTTAACAAAATCAACATCTGTCACCCTCAGGTGGAATCAGCGTGGACCATATGCAAACTCAGCCCAACCCTGTCCTGGCTTGACTGGTTCACGTCGCTGGATGAGGTGGTAACCGTGTGCTGTCGCAGGGTCCTCTGCTATCCACTCTACAGGCACTGGGAGCTCGCCAACAGAGTCATCCAGGACGTCCAGAGGATATTTCTTTTAGGTGAGTGTAGTCTTGATTCAAGACCTTGTTATACTGATACTGCGACCACCTGCCGCAAGAGGTGGAATCTTTTGGAATCTTGTCAAATCTTTTGGAATCTTGTCAAATCGCCCCCTGAGAAATGGAGAAACTGCTGCACATGCAGTACTTCTGCAGGCAAATACAGTCCATTTTCGGTCGCATGCGGACTACATACGACAAAAGGGCAGCAGTGAAGTTGCCCAAAAGTCTTGTAACATCTTGTACGCTACTGGTTGAAATTTCGGAATTTGGTTCGGAGCTAATGTACAAGGTGTTGAATGCGCGCTGCATACATTAGGTAAAATAGGTGTGCGCGCGCGCATGACACGACCGCTACAAGATTCCCAAGACGTAATAGTGGTTTGTTTTGATAAGGCCCTCATTTGGCGGTTGATTGAGTATCCAATATATACCAACAACGTCGTTATCCAAGACTAAGGTGAGTGAGGCGCTTGGTCACAAAAATCCCTTGCAGTACAATGGAGAATTTCATCATCACTTTTTTGTTTCTCTCGAGTTGAAATGTTCAATTGTGGAATCAAAAAGGACGAAATTCAGTTGGTACAAAGGTTTGAGTATTTCACACAGTGTGGTCTTAACGTTTGTGAATAGTTTCAGAATAACATCGATGATGCCTCTTGATTTGTTCATGCAGACATGAACAGGCTCGCTTAAAGAGGTTGTGGAATGCTCGAAGACATTTCCGTCATTCTTCGGGTATATGTAGCCTAAGGTGTGATGAAATAAAAACGACTATTTTTTCTGTCATAAAATGAGTACATAAGGTACTTTTGAGAGCTGTTTTTCAAGTCCTGTCATGCCTGTTTCGACCCGAACGTGCAATTTGTGTAAAAGTCGTCGTTGCGGGCAGCAAACAAAACACAGTAAATCGTGACGTAATAAACATGACTCCCGATGCAGAGTAGCATAAACGAGTCCTGTTTTTTACGTCACGATTTACTGTGTTTTGTTTGCTGCCCGCAACGACGACTTTTACACAAATTGTACGTTCGGGTCGAAACAGGACCTGAAAAATAGCTCTCAAAAGTACCATTTGTACTCATTTCATGACAGAAACAATAGTCGTTTTTATTTCATCACACCTTAGGCTACATATACCCAAAAAATGACGGAAATGTCTTCGAGCATTCCACAACCTCTTTAATCAAGCTGGATCCGAAAGTCTCAGTTATGGGACTTGACGTATACTCAGTGATTTAGTCAGTCGATCAGTCAGTCAGTCATTGGTTTGTCAGAGGACAATAGCTACCCTATCAGGTCCAGCAATATCAGTTCCAATCAGCTCATGGAGTAAAGAAATATGTGTTTCAGTCTTCTTTTCCTTTTTAATTTATCAGGAAGGCGGCGGCTTTTGAAGTGTTTGCTGGAAGTCCACCGCATACTGGCTGCAGATGAACCTCGCTACATCCTGAATGAGCTGTATATCACAGACTACTGCGTGTGGGTGCAGTCTCTCAGTCATGACAAGATCGCATCAATTGCTGCAGCTCTGAAAAAGGTAACTCTCATTTTCATTTTATGCCCTTTTAACCCTCGAGCACTTGTATGAAATTGTATTACATTCTCCATCAATCTTTGGGGCTGTGGAGTAAATGGCAGGGCGGTTAAGGGCGGTTAAGGGCGGTTAAGGGCGCTTTGAGGGCTAATGGGTTAAACGCATGTGTGTCTAGTCCTTTGTTTAAAGGTTTATGTCACACCCTTATATTTTTTGGTGTCCTCTCATAAAACACCTGGGATTAAAATTGGGAACAAGTGTATCCACAATAGGCCCATTGTATTAGGGATTGGTTTATACAGAGTCTGAACAATTTTTGAGGTTTTCAGTTTGTAAAAAATACAGATCAACTTGAAATTTATTTCAATAGAATTCTGAACTAACGTTGAATGTCTGAGGATCAGACATTCAACCGGGCAAGCCACGGTTAGATGTCTGATGTATCATAGCATGTCAATATTGTGCGACTCCGCATGCCAGCCAAAAGCAATTGGAGTGGCCTTTAGAGGCTGTGACGTCATTTCGATGAGAAATGTGGACTAAGCTGTTGATTGGTCAATTTGGATGCCATCTTTTTGTATTACAACAACGGGTTACGGAAGACCCGATAGAAGGCGCCCGCTGAATGGTCAGAACCTCGAGGTCCAAAACAGACTTGTTTTTCATAATTAATTGCCCAATCTACTCGCATATCATAGACGCTTGATGTGCAAGGGGATATTCCATAGACTACTGATACAATGCGTCTATAGCAAATAAACTTGTAAGCGACTTAGCCCAGAAATTTAGTGAAATGAGCCTTTGTGATCTTTGCTTCTTATCAAACACAATATCTTACTTTGAAATTGAAACAGGTGAAAATTTCAAAGAGCAAGATCGGCTTCGAACTGAGAGAGCTAGAACAGGCTGCCAAGCTGGCGATACAGGAAGAAAGTAAAGAAGAACGTGACGAGGATGCAGTATCATCCGTACACCAACATGGCTACCCACACGTTCTCTATGAGGGGTTAGACTCTGAAAGCACCACGAACCCAGTCAAACAACCAGACAACAGTGAAGAAAACAGACAAGGTTATGAAGCAGCCGAAAGCTCTGGGGACTGTTGGGAGCCAGTTACAAACGGACAAGGGGACCAGTGTGAATGTGCCACAGTGGAAGAATCTGCGTTTAATGTTGTTGCAACGAAAATGTCAGACTTGAAGCTTTCCGGGGAGGCAAGCGAACAGTCCTCAAAGTGTGATGAGAAAGAGAAAGAAACGGATACCGTGTCGAAAGCAACATTGCCGGTTTCGTTAGAGGACTGGGCACGGAAGCCACCTTCTAGGAAAATTGAGGTGTTTGGTGAGGAGAGTGCAAGTTGCTGTTCAGAAAAACAAACAGATTTTGTGAAAGGGAGCGCGGATAAGATTCAAGTTGAAGACGATGGTCAGATTCTTAGTGATGGAGAACAGCGTGAAATTGACAGAACTGGAAATGTTTTCGGCAAGAGAGGATCCAAGTCCGAAACGCTTCATCCTTGTGACCCAGAATCAGTTGCTGATCTCGGGAAATGCTGCTCTGATGCCAAAAGTGAGGAATGCGATCCAGAAGTAACTGGTTGTGTTGAGAGAGAATGGAACGGGCAGTCCCATGGGAAAGTAGATACAACAGTATCTGCTTCAGATTCCGAGTCTGATTCCGAGTCGTCGGACGATTCCGATTCAGACTCCAGTACAGAATCGGAAAGTGAACTAGACTCGGAACCAGACTCGTGATCCATTTCCCAACTGAGACTTGTCAGTGGCGTAAAATCCTAAAATTGCCCGGTCGTGGAAATTTGGAATTATGGGGGGGGGGGGAATTATAGCACTCACAGGTTTGCACAAATTAATGTGGCTCAGGTTATGCTTGATGAATTTTATATCAGATATCCGATCATCCACCAAATATCTGAATGGTTTTATTGTCAGTCAAATGCCACATTTGTGTGGACAGCCACTTTTTACATGCGTGATTTGAGAGCTTCCATGAGGAAAGCCCTTCTTTGCAGCTTTAAAATCTGTCAAAGATCAGCTAGACAGCTACATCAAAATGTTTAACTCAATGTCAGTTGAGAGAGCAGTTGTTCACTTGGATAAAAAAAAATTGTTTTGTTGCAAATACATAGTTGAGCCCGGTTCATACGCGAATTTGTGAGGACATGGCAAGTATTTGCGCTGTGAATTTGTAAAAGTTTAGCATATTTCAACTTGGGCGAATTTCGCAGCAAACGTCTCATGACGTCAAATTCGCTTTGCATTCGCATGAAGTATGAACCGGGCTTTAAGGGCTTTTTCCATTTTAATTTATATGGTGGTGTTCCCTAAAGTGGCGCACTTTGACATTTACCCGACTGTCCTCGTGTAGTGTTGCCAAACCTCTTTGTTGACAAACCTCAAATTCATGCACTGAAATACTGGTACTTTTACGTTATTAATGCTTGCTTTTTAACCTCTGTGAAAAATTTCGGTGTCATGAAATTTAATCCGAAATTCAAAAACGGTGGCGTCCGGAAATTGGGCACAAATTGGTGGAGTGTTCCCTAATAACATGGCGCACTTGAATAAATCTCAGAAAATTACAAATTAACATTTAATAATTTCTGTAAAGTTGATAAATTCTGTCATTATTATCTCTACTTACATACCCAGCCAGATGTTTGTCAGAAAATTATTTTCTTATTTTTCGGGGCATTTTCAAAGGGTTCACGTTGCACTTCAAAATAAAATCGAAAAATCAAGCCAAAAGAAATTTTTCTTCTAACTTTGTAACGGGTTGATAAACTCGCGATTTATGAACGAAAGTGTTTAGAAATTGATGAAATTTCACTTTCTGGGAAATTTCAGTTAAAACGTTTGCTCCAGGTAGGCGCTACAGGCGAAAAATCATAGTGCGCCACGTTAGGGGCCGCGCCACGTTAGGGTACATCAACAATACAGATAGGGGCTAAACACAGAGATACATTTTTCTCACAAATGTTTTATTCGATCCATGCAATTTTACATTGCATATTATCGTTCTGAAATTTCCCGTCACCAACATAAAATAAATTACTCATAAATTTGTGTTTACAGGTATTTGACTTTGGACTCCATACATCTATATAAAATATTTCAATTATTCTAGACTATAATACAAAGCCACTGTTGTACGAAACTTCCATCATGTCTGATTTAATGTCAGATGGCTTCATTTTACTACTACATGTACATGTAGTATGCATAACATTAGTCAGCAGCTTAACGGGGGTTGACCCCCCACCCCTAGATCCACTACTGAACTATGTACATTGTATAATCTCTTAAAAACAGCTTTGTTGACAAAAACAAATCAAAGCAAAGGATCTTTTCCAGGACTAATAACCGTGACACAAAAAGAATTTCCACTTGGGGTACGACAAAAGTACATCTAATCATATAATAATATGTGTGTTTCTACACTAAAGATTTAGATCTATTGCTCCAAAAGGAAGTCCTTTTCAATTTTTTTTAATACATGTACCAATTCCACCACCAAGACACTTGTATTGCTTTGAAAAGTATTTCAAACTAGTTTTTTTTTTCCAGTTGCATATAGTGTAGATAACTGTCAACCCGAAAAATGTACAAAATATATTGCTAAATTGAAAAGTATTACTTGAATAAAAGTACACACCTCTGACTAATTATGCATCATGTCGAGTTATTCTGTGTCTTTTTCATTTCACATTGTTTATTCTGGGATAAGGAAATTGCCAATTGTCATACTTTGCCATCATAACTGTACACAAAGGTTAAGCAGTGTTTCAGATTCAGATGTGTGGCACTGGATTTTTCCAAATTTTGTCTTTTCTTTTTTTAAAGAATATACAACTTCATTTTTCCGAACAGAGTTGGACTTGAACAAATTAAGGTAGTCCTCCTGATTTGAGGCGTGCAATCGCACCCCCATGCCATCGCACGCCTAAAAGCCTCCCGAGAAGTGTGAATAATTGCACGCCTGAATTCCTCTGTACCGCACGTCTCTGCATACATTTACAGCATAATTAAACTTCTTTGAGTTCTTGAAATGTCTTTACTGTAAACCAAGATGAATAGCATATAGAAAACTACCAGATTGGTCACTCCCAGTTTGGACCACAGAATCCCACGCCTGGAAACATCACACACCTAGAAAAAACACGCCTAGAAAAATCACAAGCCCAGAAAAATCCAAGTGTACCTTTTTCCACACGCCTGCGATTTTCAAATCAGAAGGACTGAATTAAGGATAATACCATGAATACTAGTGAACATTAAAAGAAAATGACAACAAGAAACAAAACAAAACAACCTCTTACACAATGAAAATTTTAACATGAGACAATATTGCTACATATATATGTACAATTGACCTTATTCATAAGGAAGCCATTTTTGATCATGTTCCCTGAATGCATTTTATAAATTGTAAACTGTTGAATGGGATGGTGCCAGACTATGCAATCCAAGACTCACTTTTTTTCTTTTCTGTTTTAAATGTGGCTTAAAACATTAGGGTTTGTTTAATCACATTTGTAAATTATTCGTCAAAGCAGACTGGTACTAATTTGTAATCAACTTTATTTCATTGCTTTCATTTCTACTCACAAGTTCCCAAAATATAGATTTTACCTCGCTTTCAATTTAATATAGCCGACTCGTGAATAAGGCCTATACTCCAGTTCACTTCTGCAGCAATATTCTGGAATAAGTAAGATTTGAGGCTTTGCATGGTGGAGATACTAATGAATGAAAAGTTTGCGGAAACACCATGTGCGAATAATTTTTCACCTAAGAGAATGGTTCTGAAAAGAACCAGAGGTATAAACTCGACGTTCCGGTCAGTATGCTCTGACCGTCTTCAGGAGAGTGCCTAAACTCTAAGAAAGTAAATACTTAAGTAGCAAAAGCGAAATTGATGAAGTGTGTAGTTGCATCCTGTGTGGATGCCGAAGCGCTGGGAGCCTAGAGCAAGCTTGGTGAGCCCACTAAAGACAGGCAGAGCATACTGACCGGAACGTCGAGTTTATACCTCTGGTTCTTCTCTTAGTTGAGAAATTATTTGCACATGGTGTTTCCGCAAACCTTTCATTCTAAAATACTTCAATCAAAACACAGGAAGCACACTACAAAGAATGGTTCCCTGGTTCAGCCCCCCCCCCCCCCCACATGTCCGTACTGAAAGATTATGATTTAAAATATTTCTGAAGAGTGAACCTTTTGCTTCAACATACTGTACTGGTTGGCGTAGCGGTACTTTCCTCGCCTTCCACCGCTGTGACCCGGGTTCGATGCCTGCCTGGGCCAATATGTGGATTGGGTTTTCAGTCCCTACCTGATTCCGTGGGTTTTCCCCAGAATATTCTTCTGGGCTTTTCCTCCCACCACTAAAACTGTAACTTCTCATTGTCTTCTCTCCACAGGTTTCTTCAGGCTTGCGAGCTACAGTGCCTAGGGCGCTTTTGAGGAATCCTTGGTTACCAGAAATGATTAATAATAATAATAATAATAATAAATTGTATACAGAAGAAAGTAGTCCACAATCATTGCATTTGATAGAGCTGTGATCCGGCGAATGTGGCATAACATTATTAACGTTACTTGAGATGTAATTGATTCAGTCACAATAATTGTACCTGCATACATGTAAACTGATAATTTCTCCAATGTGAACATAGCATAGTTGGGCCTTGACTTGGGTATTAACCACAGAGCTATATTAAATTACTAGAGTGCTAACTCGATGTACAAAGAAATGCCTGATGGGCGCATCCATGTTGGTGCACAAACCTATGAAAAACTCAAAATTTCATACGGCTATACAATGTACATATCTGCGTTTGTATTCCATACCGGTGCGTCATCGAAGCCGATACGCCCAAAACTGAAATGCACAATCAGCAAATGAGCGTTTCATTTTGCTCTACGCAAACAGCGCAACGTGTGTGCGTCCCTCCGCTGCAGATGCTTTTCGCCGTGACGTTTTTTTAACCGTCATGACGCGCTTAAGTTGTTTGCGTATCTTCTACTTGCACGTTGCATTTAGAGTACACTTTTAAAATTCAATCCATCTATTTTGATTGTGTCCTACAAACACGCACATGAATTCAAAATGTCTGTGCCCAGAGCGGCTTCAAAGCGTCTCCGCGCGCAAGAATGAGGAGTTAGCGCTCTAGTAATTTAAAGGGAATGTACATCATTTGCTTTTGCTGTCATTTTCAGAAATGAACTGTTTGAGAGGTTAGTATAATAGATCAAATATTGTTACACTGACATTTTTGAAGTTTTGTGTTCGAAAAGGTTGGAAAAACCAAGATAAACAAAAATGTTCAAGTAGTCTAGCTCCCTGACTCCACGAAATATAAAATGGATCAATTTATGGATGATAGAAAATTGTAAGGCAAGGGAACCAGTCTAGCTGGCCTGCACCCGTTCATGAACATGTAACCAATAGCAAACAAAATTTGGACTACAAAATGGTAAATTTGGAGCAGTAGTTGAAAAATAGTTAGGTTTTCCAACGCTGGTCGGCCGACCACCATTGGAAATGTTTACAAAAAATACCATTTTCTTGAAAATGACTTCACACCAGGTGCCATAATTTTACATGATGCTTGAGACTGTCATTTACCAACATCCTAGTAAGGTATTTCGTAAAAACTTGGTGTTTTTATTTTTCGATGTTTGCAAATGTTGTATATTCCCTTTAATATAGCTCTATGGTATTAACTGACTTGATTATTAATGTGATTTGGGAGTAAGACTAATTTGTGAAGCTGCTACTGAGGTGGGGGCACTATCAACAAGATAACACAAATCCAGTCATGGGAACGGGCACTAGCTTGAAGATTTCCATCTACTTCTTCTGTGCCTCCCCAAGAATGCGCAGTATGTGCAGGAACAGGTTCAAGATGTCCAGGTACAGGTTGATGGAGGCCAAGATGTACTCCTCCGGCGACAGCTTGTGCATCATCATGTGGACGTCGAAGACGATGAAGGCGCAGAAGAGGATGGCTCCAAAGACGGCCAGGAGGAACTCCACGGCATTGCTCTGAGGCAGGAAGATGTGGAGGAGGCCGCTGAGGACGAGGATCAAGAGGGCCGAGTACAACCTACAGGGAGGACAAGGAAAGATTGATTGACTGAGTGAGTGATTGAATCATTCACTGATTGGATGAGGAGGAACTCCACCGCATCGCTGTGAGGCAGGAAGACGTGGAGGAGGCCGCTGAGGATGAGGATCAAGAAGGCCGAGTACAACCTACAGGGAGAACAATGAAAGATTGATTGACTGAGTGAGTGATTGAGTCATTCACTGATTGGATGAGGAGGAACTCCACCGCATCGCTGTGAGGCAGGAAGATGTGGAGGAGGCCGCTGAGGACGAGGATCAAGAGGGCCGAGTACAACCTACAGGGAGAACAATGAAAGATTGATTGACTGAGTGAGTGATGGAGTCATTCACTGATTGGATGAGGAGGAACTCCATCGCATCACTGTGAGGCAGGAAGATGTGGAGGAGGCCACTGAGGATGAGGATCAGGAGGGCCGAGTACAACCTACAGGGAGAACAATGAAAGATTGATTGACTGAGTGAGTGATTGAGTCATTCACTGATTGGATGAGGAGGAACTCCACCTCATCGCTGTGAGGCAGGAAGATGTGGAGGAGGCCACTGAGGATCAGGACGGCCGAGTACAAGCTGTGGTTTGGGAGGATTATCAATTTCATTTACATATTAATAAATGGAATTGATAGGCAAATAGGTGGATATTATAGACCACATCACCTTAGCCTTTCAACAAGGCCATCATGACTTTAGACATCTGAGTGGGGAAGCTGTGAAGTGAAAGGACATCAGTGCGAGAACCAACGCCTGAACCAGAACAAAGACAGCTGTCATCATACTTTGGTACTCTATAGGGCAACGTAAATAAGGAACAAAGACTGTCTCAAGGGTCACTTTCCTTCTGTACCCCAAAGCACACCAGAATGACGCGGTAGAGATATGTGTGATACCTGACTTAATCTTACCTAAAGAATCCACAAGGGACGCACTACAAATTGTGTTCAGTTAAGAACCACTTGGTCAAGGACAGGGTGATCAGCACAGATGTTGTAATTACACCTACCCTGCACCCCAGGAGCTGAAGTCTTTCTTGCTCTGCATGGTGTAAGCAGTCAGGCTGAGTGTCACCACCATGGTCAGGGTGAATGCCTGCAACACCACAGCTTTGTTGTAGAAGGTCACGATGGTTCCAACGCTGTAGGCTTCCACAAAAGTCTGCATCCAACGACAATAAAAAAAAAAAATTAAAATTAGACAGAGCTCAACAACGCTGTCATCTCTGTGCAAAATTTCACCCTTTATTACATGGATTTTAGAGCCAGAGCATACAAGGCTCACTGCATGTATCAATATGCCATAGAGCTATATAAAAATTACTAGAGCGCTAACTCCTCATTCTTACGCGCGGAGACGCTTTGAAGCTGTCCTGGGCGCAGACATTTTGAATTCAAGTGCGTGTTTGCAAAAACCATTTGCAGCAGATACGCACATGCGTTTGCCTTGTTTGCCCAGAGCAAAATGAAATGCTAATTTACTGATTGTGCGTTTTGGTTTTGGGTATCGCCTTCGATAACGCACCTGCATAGAATACAAAAGCAGATGTGCAAATCGCCGTACAAAAGCTGTGCAAAATTTCAAGTTTTCCATACGTTTGTGCACAAATATGGGTGCGCCCAGCAGGCATCTCTTTGTACAGGTACATTGTATAGTGAGTCAGCGCTCTGGTAATATAATGTAGCTCCATGCAACATGCACACTAGACTCAACACAGCCACACCCTTCTGAGATGGAGATTTTGATGAGCCAAATGAAAAAAATGGGAAATTGTCACCACTTCACATACAATGCTGTTTGCAGAAATGGTGACCTTAGTAAATGAGATTGCTTATTCATAAGATGGAATTTTACGTCGGGGTGATGAAAATTCAACGTGTTTTTCATAGGAGATTGCTCACATTGAGCTTTTAATGATCTTTTGCAAGGCCAAGTAATGTTGAAGTTAGAAACAAACCTAAACTGGAACGTCCGAAAACATTTGTCCAGGCCATCACATAATGTGAGCTGTGGGATCCAAAGCAGTGACATTGGGATCAAGAGGGCCATGCGCTGCAGAGGCGGGACTGTACTTACAAATAGTCCAAGGAGGATCATGTTGATTGGTGAATCTCTGCGTTTGACGAATAACGCCAGCAGGAGGAATATGGAAGACACGTAAGCCGTGACAAGCATCCCTTGACTGCAGACAGAGAGAGAGAGAGAGAAGGTTGATCAAAGAAATTGGCTGGTGCAGGATTTGAACCTGTGACCTCTGAAACACCCTACCACAAGTACCAGGGCTCCATCCATCCCTATATTAATGGTGTTTTCACGAAGTGACAAAAACCTCTATCCTGCAAAAAAGGTCACCCCAAGGTAATCACGTTTGAAGGTGATCCTTTTTTAAAACACATGTTCGACCAGTTTGTAGATTTGGGAAATGTTTGCATTGTCAAGTAACGTATGCTTTGTTCTTTGCTAATACAAATTTTGTTTGTTAAAATTCTCTCTTAATGAAACAGAAATCCATTAACCCTAACCACGCCAACTCCATCAAAATCCATCCCCCATTTTCGGGAACTTGGTCCAGGCGGCCTGGTGTGACTTAATATTGATGGAGTATGATGGAATTGGGCCTAATAGCCTGAAGCAGTGCTAGGGGTACCCAATTGATTTTGCCTAGCTTCCTGTACTGCTATTGTGATAAAAGCCATGTGTAGTAAATCCATGAATGTCAACCAGTGGTGGATTCCATTATGTCATGTACAGTTTTGTATTGGACGCACAGTGATTGATGGATTTTGATGGACTTGGTCCAGTTCCTAGTAAAGACGCTAGAGTTAGGGTTAATTCTTTTACACTTCGTGAAAACAGCAACACGCGGAGGCCTGTATTATTTTTCCCACTTCTTCGTACACAGTCTTTGTCGCTTCGTGAAAACCTAAAATATGTCGAAAGAAATTGTTACTTTTACGCGTCAAATAACAGTGGAGCGCGCGTGCTTCATATTTTTTTTCCCTGAGCCACTCCCATCCTGATGTGTGATGGGGGGGGGGGGGGGGGGGGGAGGGGTGCCAAAATATGCCACTGTTGCCCAAACAGAATTGTTAATGATGTTGTAGGTTTATCAGCTTATCCAACCAAATACAAACCTTTTCTGAACGTAGGCCTTGACTCCATCTGTGTACATGAAGATGGCAGATACTACAGTTGTCACCAAGAGCTGTGTGCTGAGAATCCCAAACACCTTCCGTAGAAAACCTGCAGTGAAATGTACAATTAAGTACAGTGTAAATATTAAAGTGCAAGCTGTTCATTTTCTGTTTTTTAATCTATTCATTTGCTATGTAAGTTACGTTTATTCCTTTCAGTAACTTGGCATTCCAAGTCTCGTACACACTGTTGGCTTTTTAAGCTCTGGCAGGATCATCTACATGTACATGTCACTTCATGGTCAGTCGGTCAGTCTGTCGGTTGGTCGGTCGGTTGGTTGATCGGTAGGTCTGTCCCCGGATAATTGACCAAAAACAAGCCCCCTAAGTTTCCCACAAAACATAACTACCAAATTTTAATTTAAAAAAAAGCAACTAAAATAACTTAAATAATTAACAAAAAATGTTTGTGACAATAATATTTGTAAAGTTGTTTAGCAAAATTTTGTAAATGGAGGCAAAATATATAAAGTAATGTTATAGTCACGTGATATACAGCGCGCTATAATTCCGCGCGAAAAAAACCCACAATATGTTATTGGAGACTTAGGGGGCTTCTTGTGGTCAAGAGGACAGATAAGTGCAGCGTGATTATTTTTCGAGTGGGAGGCCTCGAGGAGGGCGTGTGGGACGGTGCGTGGGACGCCGTGCGTGGGATGCCGCAACCCGGGCTTGTACGCACAATCTCCGGTCCAATCCAGGTCATCACCAAGTCCATCACCAGTCTATCAGCTATATTAAATAACAAGAGCGCTGACTCGTTGTACAAAGTAATGCCTGATGGGCACATCCATGTTTGTGCACAAACTTATGGAAAACTCGAAATTTTGTACGGCTATTTGCATATCTGCGTTTGTATTCCATACTGGTGTGTCATCAAAGCCGATACGCCCAAAACCAAAACACACGATCAGCAAATGAGCGTTTCATTTTGCTCTACGCAAACGGCGCAACGTGTGCGCGTCCCTCCGCTGCAGATGCTTTTAGCCGTGACGTTTTTTGAACCGTCATGACGCGCTGAAGTTGTTTGCGCATCTTCTACTTGCGCGTTGCATTTAGAGTACACTTTTAAACTTCAGTCCATCTATTTTGATTGTGTTCTACAAACACGCACATAAATTCAAAATGTCTGCGCCCAGAGCGGCTTCAAAGCGTCTCCCCGCGCAAGAATGAGGAGTTAGCGCTGTAGTAATTTACAGCTCTATGATCACAAGTTATCCAGTCGCAAGTCAAGCCAAATGCTAATCAAATGAACTGCGAGAAAACAATTCCTGTTTATTATTCATCACCCCCTGTTTACTTGTGACTGGACTTGCAATGGACTTGTCTACAGCACTGCCATTTAAGGTAGCAGACCAGTAAATAAACTTCCATAGACCCCAATGGTATATGCTCCCACTTCAAAAAATCGGGAAAAATATTCACAACTCTCCAAGGTGTTCGAGACACACATCAAATTAAAGCTTATTTCATCATGTTTCATTTTCTTTTCAATTTTCAGGGGGTCAACTGATGACTTTTAGGAGAAATTTTCATCTGAAGATGATCACCCCTGAAAATAGTCCTGAAGCCCATCGCCATTTTGAAAAACGATGCCTACACTCCACTGCAAAATAGAGCGCTTTTAGGGTCCAAATTACATCAAAATTACACAGAACTGCAAGCTCCCAGTCCTGTGCACGGCTTCCACCCATATTTTTTACAAACCCTCAAGTTCATGGCCCACAGCATGTTCAAATACCGAAGATTTTGAGGGCATGCAAATCGTGATTTGGCCGGCGCAGGCAATTTCAGACCGATTTACTGGTCTGCACCCTTAAACACTTCTTACCTAAACGAATGGAGAGGTGAGCTGTGGCCACATTGGTCCCATAACGGAAGTCGTCAACGATGCTCTCAATATCATGTGCCTTGGTCTTGGACGTCATCCTGGCAAATGACGGTATTTCAAGTACTCACAGACTGAAGTTACTCGACAATCTTTGATGTTACACTACTCTGCAGTATAAAAAAGAAAAGGATACAATTTTAAGGTTTTTTAAGAAGCGATTGGTTGATCTGTGTGATCGGTTAAACTGCGCAAACAGTGGATCGCTGCGCTATCGGTCAATCACGACGGATATCTCGGACATTACTTGATCGGTTGATCTGTGCGATCGGTGGATCGCTGCCCTATCAGTCAATCATGACTGATATCTCGGACATTACATGTACTTGATCGGTTGATCTTCCCGATCGGTGGATCGCTGCGCTATCGGTCAATCATGACTGATATCTCGGACATTACTTGATCGGTTGATCTGCGCGATCGGTGGATCGCTGCGCTATCGGTCAATCATGACTGATATCTCGGACATTACATGTACTTGATCGGTTGATCTGCCCGATCGGTGGATCGCTGCGCTATCGGTCAATCATGACTGATATCTCGGATATTACTTGATTGGTTGATCTGCGCGATCGGTGGATTGCTGCGCTATCGGTCAATCACGACGGATATCTCTGACATTACTTGATCGGTTGATCTGCGCGATCGGTGGATCGCTGCCCTATCAGTCAATCATGACTGATATCTCGGACGTTACTTGATCGGTTGATCTGCACGATCGGTGGATCGCTGCGCTATCGGTCAATCATGACGGATATCTCGGACATTACTTGATCGGTTGATCTGCCCGATCGGTGGATCGCTGCGCTATCATTCAATCATGACGGATATCTCGGACATTACTTGATCGGTTGATCTGCCCGATCGGTGGATCGCTGCGCTATCAGTCAATCATGACTGATATCTCGGACATTACTTGATCGGTTGATCTGTGCGATCGGTGGATCGACTGTTTCATGTACTGATATGCGCCCCGCACCAAAAACCCACAGTCAGACGGCGCGGGGCACATATGACTACATAAAACAGCTATTGAGTAAGCGCAACTTGTTTTTCTTCAATAGTGACGTCACACACGCGCGCAATGAATTATGCATCAGTCATGTCAGCGAAATAGACTGTGCAACTCGGCAGACACATTTAACATGTTTAATTATGAGCGGTAAGTTCAGACTATTTTGTTCTTTTTTTCAAAATTACCGGTTGTTTGAAACAATTTGAGGGGGTCATATGGAATGTCATGAATGTGTGGATCTATCCAGGGTTACTGTCTTCCTTTGTATGGAGGGGTACCCGTAATTCAACGCTCCACTCAGTAGAGCTATACATGTGTAAAAAAAAAAAAAAAATGCCAAAAAGGGTGCACCACCACTGCACCAGTGTGGCCTAGCCCAGGTTGAACCATGGAGGAACCAGGACCAGGTTGAACCATGTTGAACCATGGAGAAATAAAATTATTATTTCTCCATGGTTGGAGAAATTGCATTACGACTAACAGTAACCTGGTAACAGGAAAGGGAGTCCACCTGGGCTACAGCTACAGTGTCACAGCGCAGCAATTGCAATACGGAGGCAGGCCACACGGGATAATTTATGTCCAACAACATAGATTACATGATCATGATTAACAACAATAGTACCCCTGCTTAATTCGACAAAGATTTACCTGCAGTCTATCTGTTTGCCAAGAGTGCCTCAATGAAGGAGCAAGAATTCCAAATTGTGTCACGAAATTATTGCAACTCTTTTGGGATGACGTGTTTAGTTAATTGTCATCGGGGAAATCGGACGGATAACTAGCTCTGGAAATAAGTGAACGTTGAGGGCGTTATACTTTGATCGCCGTATACAATAATCCTCCGATCGGAGTATAAGGCCGTGTCCGAAATGGGCTTCCAGAGCTACGGCTACGTCTATTGTCAGCGCGTCCCCGCGTATTTTCAATGGGCGTAGACCTAGACCTAGCTCTAGACAACTGATTCGGATGCAGCCTCATATATCCTGCGATCATAGGATATTTGCCTTTTCAGCGCTAAAAAATTGCTAGGTTTAAAAGAACTGTCTCCGTGTATGTTTTAACGCGGTCTGGGCAAACTTTACTATGCTTTATTGCAAAAGCACGTGAAAAAATAACGTTAGTAATCCGTGTTAAAATGAGGGGCTGTTCAGCTAGTTTTTGAGTTATAGCGCTTCAAAGCTACCGATATAGTTCTTGTAGCAAATCACGTTACTTTAAGGATGCTTTTAATAAGGGAATAACAGTGTGAGGAGCCGGTCTTCACTGCGTGATAATGACCGGGTGTGGGGGTGACCGCTGTTAATGGACCGAGACGAAGTCGAATTCCATTAACAGCGGTCACCCCCACACCCGGTCATTATCACGTAGTGAAGACCGGATCCTCACACTGTTATTCCCATTAATAAATACCTTTTTAACGAAATAAAATAAAAGACGGTTCCAAAAGCTTCACTTTAATGATTTCTGTTGAAAATACTGAAAGAGGTTCCCTAATTAGTCCTTTTTGTTATCTCGTCACGCGTCATTTCTGAGACGACAATTAAACTTGAACACCCAGACTCTGTTCATGAAATTGAATGACCAAAGACAATTGTGTTAACTAAGAACCTTCACTAACGTTTCAGATCTCAGTGAGCAGGGAAATTGGTCCGAACAAAACTTTATATGAACGGAGAAGTTAACTTTGTCTTATTTGTTTCAGGATTCGATCTTTGAAAGATGTAAAGGGAACAGTCGGACACATGCTGTCGTTTATACAGCCGGGTTGCATAAGCCTACCATCGTCATTACTCGCAGGTTATTGATACCTGTCTTGTTGATCGCTTATCGACTTGATTTCTGAACATTATAGTTGACAACTGGTAATTAATTAAACTGAAATACTGTTTTAAGTTTGACAACTTTTGAAACTTTTCCTTACACACGTTCATTAAAAGTTGAATGTGTCAGGGATACTTAAGTGGCGTACCGTGGTCATTTTTATTTGAGTAGACGTGAAAAAGGGCACTCATCTCATCCGTGCTGAAAGGTATACAGGCCAGGGTGTTTTTTCATCCTCACCCAGCCTCCATAAACTCAAGGAAGGGGGGGGGGGGACTGGACACCTTCTTGCCATGGGAGCGCCAAAAAGGGCGATCATGGCAGTGATGTAGTGCCTTGATGCTGGACCTTGGCCTTAAGGCTGCCTTAAGGCTGGATTTTAGGGCCTTGGCCTTGGCCTCGAGGCTTAAGGGCAAAAGCCTTGGCCTTGGCCTTGAGGGATCACGGCCTTGCAATTTTGAGTCAAGGCTCTTCAAGGCCCATAGATTTTTGCATTTTCCAGATAAATCTGTTCGAAATTTTGCTGTTACCATTTTAATCGTATTACCATGGAGGAGGGAAACCCCTTGTAGATTTGTGTGTTGGGCACACTTCCACTTTTTTTAGCATCACATGTTGTTACCATTGTAGTAGATTTGCTGCAAAAATATTCTGTACACCTGTGGGGCTAATGAAATGATCACTTAAATTGTATACAATTATGGAATAGATCTGATGGTTGTATAAGTCTCCCTGATAAGTGCTAAAGATTTGCATGTATCTGTTTTAGATAATGCTGATATTTCTGACCATGTTGGCCTAGCAAATAAAAATTTCCCAAATCAGTTTCTTGGATCCCCCTTTTGTTACACTCGGGAGAATTGTGCGTCAATAAAGAAGTAAATCTTTATTTTGTTTTAGTTAAACCATATTGAAGACCTGAACTTATACTTGAATAGACCTAATGCAGTCATAAAACGGTGTATGCGAGCATGTTCATTGTAATTTAAGACATATTGTTCTTCTTAACGGGCGATTCGTGATGATGTGTCATGTGACTATAATTAGTTCTATATCAGTGGTCATTTTTAAAACAGGGCCTTGGCCTTAGCCTTGAGGGTTAAGCCTTGGCCTTGGCCTCGAGGCTTGAAGGTCTAAGCCTTGGCCTTGGCCTTGGCCTTGAGGGTCAAAGCCTTGGCCTTGGCCTTGAAGGTTTAAGCCTTTGCTCTAACACTGGATCATGGGTACTATAATCGGACGTAGGGAGTGCTCTCAATATGGCGACACAAGTCAACGTTTGCACGACGTTCAAAAAGGACCTTCGTGTTGAAACAAATGGCGCTCGTGACAAAAAGGCAGGCATTCGTGAGAAAATATTGGGAGGGGCAGTGGCGTACTAACGTCATTTTGTTGGGGTGATGGGTAGACATGAACAAGGGCACTCTCCCTTCCCGTGCTGAAAGGTAAACAGGGTCACTTTTCGCCGGTTACTTGGCCTCCGTAAAATCATTAATGGGCACTATTAGACAATATGTGGAGATTTTTCAGGGCGGCACAATTGCCGACTTTCGCGCAAAATTACAAAAGGCACTCGCAAAAAAAGCACTCGCGAAAAAAAGGCACTTGACGTACAAAAAAGGTACTCTTTACTAACAATTGGGGTTGGGGGTAAATATCCCCTACTGGCTACGCCACTTCGGGGGGGGGGGTACATCCCCCGATGCTACGTCCCTGTACTTGCTGTAGCCATACAATCTTTGGCCACAAGCAAATACTGAACCGCAATCATTAACTCCCTCGTGCACACTTGTACTGGTTAAACATATTCAGAAATCAATCAATCCAATTTCCATCGTTTTGGGAGTTTGTTGTAATGTTTAGTGTTAGGTATTCTACACTGAACATTTCATCAAGACATCTCTGTCCACGAGAATGTCGAGGTAGTTCGGTTTGTCGTCCCTGGAATACAAGTTCAAAACCTCGTCGAATTTCTCTTTCATCGTCTTCAAGAATTCAGCTTCTTCTTCGCTGACCGGATGAGGGCAGGAAGAGTAGGATGCAATCATGTTGAGCGCGGCAACCCGGCTGAAGTGGTCCATCTCCTTCTTCGGCCACGTGACGAGAATAATCTGACCGAGGGCGCGCGAGATTTGTGGTGAGATATCATCCCAACCATGTCGCCCGCTACGGTGGTCCCAAACCAGAGGCCAACCGTAAGGGGTGATGAAAATCACCACGGGGCTCTCACAACCTTTGTAGCTGAAGATATCAACGATCTGGCATTTAGGTGTCCCTGTGTCTCCTTCTGGTGTCTCAGGGGTTGAAGGGTGGTCCGTGGACGGACTCTGCTCCGCCGGAATATCAAGACTTCGGCAAGCTTGCTTGACATTGGCGAACAAGAACTTGTCAATTTGGTACTCGCTGTCTCGAACGACGATCGAGACCTGAGAGGGATTGATATCCTTGAGCAGGCCCCACACACGCTCTAGAGTGTTAGTCAGCCGCGTCTGGATGCAGGTGCAGTCCAGTGGCTCTGAAGTGTTGCAGACACAGTCAGGCATGGAATACCACAGAGGAATACCACCGTGCACGGCGTTCCCACTGATGGTCGAGCTACAGCCTTTATCCCCAAGGTGCTCCTGCAGAGCCCGGTAGAAATTGAACCCATTTCGCGTCATCCGCATGCACCGCTTCAGGTGCGAGACAGCAAAGTTGGAGGGTATCTTCTGAGAGACACAAGCTGTTGGACTCCCGGAATCCATTGTGATGTAGGTGCCCGTTGCTATTGTAACCCAGATGAAGGTTTCTGGGTGCTCCTCCGCACGGCACCTCATCCCACATGATGTGAATTTGCATCTCTGGATGCATTGACATGATCTTTCGGGTCAGCTCTGACATCTTGGTGGGATCGAGTCGCTGATGGTAAGGGTCGAGCTCGGGGTAGCAGTAGAGGAAGAGACCACCTACCGACATGATCTTCAGAGACGACGACTGGTCGTAGATCAGATTTTTCAGATGAGCTACTAAGTGGCAAGGAGACCGACGCAGCCTTCCCATTGTGCGAGTGTGAGACACACCGGTACATGACACGATGAAAACAGTATTCTTCTTTGGTTCCTCATCGACACAGTCTCCTTCTTGTACCCCTACTATCTTCTCCGCCATTTTTGCTAGGACCAATGACCTACCCGTGCCGAACTCTCCCATTATTATCTGTTGTTTGGAGCCGACTGCAATTATCTCTTTCTGCTCCGGAGTCAGCAGGATTTTCCCGGTCTTAGCACTTGCCTTCTTTACAGCATCGGGCAGAGTACGGATTCTAACGACGGAGGCTAACCCAACGTACCTGCCGCACAACTCCGTGTACGTCCCCAAAGAGAATCCTGTCGAGTCTTTCTGCTGTTTGATGCGGATGAGGTGTTCAATGATCCGATTATCGAAGACTGAAGCTGACTGCAATATTTCTTTGGTGAGGACACTGCCTCTGTGGGAGTCACAAACACCCATACTCGTCAGGTGACTGCTGGAAAGCTCCGGAAGAGCAACTAACCGTAGGACATGCACCTTGGAGATGGAGTCTCCCATGTCGGCGTTTAACTCTCGGAATGCGCCCTCGTCTTTGATGGCTTGTTCCCAGGCATTCTTCAGCTTACCACGGATTGTCTTCCAGGCGCTGGTTTCTCGCACACTCTTCACCTGAACGAACACCACGACTCCACTCTCGTAGTGGATGACCATGACGTCGTGATCGCCGACCAGTTTCTTCCGTTTCTTGCTCTTGGCGCTTTTCGTCGCTACTCGGAGATAGTCTTGCATCTTGTACTCACTGATCTTGTATCATCATGCCTTCCCCACGACCCGCGCTCCATGCGTGAAACCGCCGAACCACTTTTTCGACAGCGTCCTTCTGAAATCGGTCGATGACCACTTCGGTTGGGGATCGAGCGGCAGAACCCCGTGCTCTTAAACAGTCCCGAGAAGTTAGAATGTCTTCG